GTACATAGCCAGCCCTGGCTCTTAGCACTTACTCAGCTCAGTGGTCCTAATCTTCATGCCTCCCCAGCATGCTGAAGGGAGCAGCACACTCTTCTGGAACAGTGGCTCGCAGGCAGTCATAATCTTAGAAAGGAAGGGGAGGAGTAAAGAACTGTGCCACCCTCCACCGGGGCAGACTGTAATATCTGGAAGAACATAAGTGATTTAGAAGAAGAATATCTAGGTGATTTTGGTATGGAATGCCACCCTTAGAGTGGCTCACTAATCTGGTCTTAGAGAGAAACTGAGGCTCTAAGAGAAGATTTACTCAGTCACACAGTCAAGTGGCCAGAGGTCAAGGAGAACTTGAACCCAGGATACTCTCTTCCTCCAGTTCTACAAGAATGGAGTCAGAAAGAAGTGGGTTCAAATCTCCATTCTTTAACTAATTAGTTCTTGACTTTTAACAAATCACTTACTCTGAGCCTGTTTCTTCATTTGTAAAGTAAGGTTAACACCTTCTTCATTAGGTTTACATGAGAATCAAATGAGTGGGAAAAAGGCTTTCTCTAACAATAATAACTGAGCGGTAGGTGCCAGGCACAGCACCTCACACACATTATCTCATTTAATCATCACAATGAACATTACTTTTATATCCATTTTATAGGAGAGGAAATTGACTCTCAAGAAGCTTTAGTGACTTGCTGAACATCATGCAGCGAGTAAGTGGTTGAGCTACGATTTGAAGCTTCTTGTCAGTGTCAGAGCAGCACTGTCATATAACATAAGTAACTTAGTGCAGTGCTTGCAAAGTACACTAAATAAACAGCAGCCATCATTATTTACTGTCATTACTATGAATCCATTTATTATATTACACATGATTGGGAGTTTTTTATCTTCTCGCACAGAAACCAAGAACTGGGCCAACCCAAGAAGTAAAGAGAAGTACGAGCCCCACCTGGCCCTTGACCATGCTCATGCTACACAGGAACAGGGAAGGGATGGCAGCAAAGTGGGGGCAGTGCCTTTTTAAAACTATGGTCACCCATGCCTCCTGAGAGGTATAACTTCTGTTGCGGGGGTCTGGACACCCTGCACACTAGCTCATGGTGTTCCTACTTACCCACTCCAGACCAATAGTCCCTCCTTCCCATCCAGGACGCTTTCTGGAGGCTTCCCATGTGTGGAAACATCAAAACCCATTGCCCCATGATTTGCTTGGGTCCCTGCTGATCTCTGAAGATGGGCACGGATGATGAAAGAGGCAGAACCCAGAGGCAGAGGGAGAGGGAGAAGACCCATTTAAAAAAGCCCAGTGAGCACAGACACGCTATCTGGAATCCCAGCCTTCCCGAGCCCAGCAGCATGAGTCACCCCACAGCCTTGTGTGTTGCAACACGGCTGACAGAAACTCCACAGCCTTCCATAAGGTGTGCAGACAGGTAAACACAGAGAAGCATGCCATCCATTGGACTATAGTAAGCTCTGCCGTTACAGCCGGCACTAGATAGCCCTCCTGTCACTAATGACCTCTGGGAAGTGGCTGGATACCTAGGCTCTGCTCTAGCATAAAACCCCAGCCCCAGCTCTACCCACTGCCTATCTCTGCATCAACAGTAGTTTACTTGATCATTTCCTACCTCAATTTCCTCATCTATAAAATGGGGGTAATAAAAGTGCCTATCCTGCAGGGATGTTGTAAGGATTAAATGAGATAATACATGTACAGGCTTGGCACAATGCCTAGGACCTACAGTCCATCGAACACCTACTAGGTGCTAGACAGTGGAGGTTCAACAGTGAACAAGACAGACAAGGTCTTTGTTCTTAAGGAGTTCATGTTCCAGAGGAAAGGGAGACAGACAATAATGAGAAAGGTATCAAAAAAGTCATAAGGTCTTTGCAGAAAACAAAATTAAACTGGTGCGATACAGAGTGAGTGAATGTCTGCTTTAACAAGGTGAGTGGAGAGGGCTGCTCTGAGGAGTGGTTGTACAAGCAATTATTATGACTACTAGTATTTGTCAGGATTCTCTGGGCTGCCCCCAACATAGCCTCTAGCCAGAAGCCAATTTCTGACAGTTCTCAAACCCAGTACTCCCTTCTCCACAGGCCTGCCTCCACGTCAAGAGGGCTCCTTTGAATTCCAACTTTACCCTGAAAAATCTCCATCACATTGGCAAGAGAAGCTGAAATCTCACTTGCCTTTCGCTGAGAAAGAAATGAGCCAAGCTGAGGTTCCCAGGAAGGTTGAGCAAAGAGATAATTTGCCAAAGGGGGAAGGGGGAGAAAGAAAAAGGGGAAAATAAAGATACCAAGATCTTTGGCTTAGATTTAATTTCAAACTAATCCTGGCGGAAGCTCTTTTAAAAAGCTCTAACATTCTCCTGTTTGTGTTCATGGTTATTCTGGGGTTTACCAACCTTGTTCTTTACAGAAGACAGCTCACAGCAATTATTCTACAATTACTTTGTCTAACTGGCTCTGATTTCTCCCAAGTTCCCAGTACAAAATGAAGCCTTTAGAGCAGTGGTTCTCAACCTTCCTAATGCCACGATGTATTTTCATTGTTACAAAGGGGTCTCGACCCACAGGTTGAGAACTGCTGACAAAGTTTGTGAAATGACCAGCTGGCTAAGGCTTCAGAGGTGGCTGGCTTCAACTTTTCCATCCCTTCTGAGCTGGCCAGAGGTATGTGGTGTGCCCACACCCCATTCAGATCAGTATCACACCAAATAAAAGGCTGCTCCCACCTTCCTCCTCCACTCCCCTGCCACACGCCCCCACCCCAGACAGTAAACTCCTCTAGAGTAGTAACCCTGCTTTTTTTGGCTTGTTTCTTCAGAACCTGGAGTAGGGGCTGGCACACAATAAGTGCTCACGGAATGTCTCTTGAATTGAGGCCACTGTTTCAGCCCAAGGTGCGGCCAGACTCGGAGTGAGAAGACTGAAGATCTGATCTGGGCTCTGACACTCACTAGCTTGTGCCCTTGGGCAAGTCACTTTACCTCTCTGGCCTCATTTCCTCTCTCATCTGTAATAGTGTGTGTTGGGGAGGAAGGAGGAACTGATAATAAATCTACCATCCTGGGTTACTGTAAGAATCAAAAGAAATCACTTGAATAAAAGGTTATTCATAAATATTATCTTAAGAGAAAATCTCTGAAAAACAGAGAGGGAACTTGGAAAGAAACTCACCTGGGGAAGATGTGCTCTCTCCTTTGAGAATTCCCCCATAGTGGTAGAAGAGGAGGAAAAGGAATTTTTTTTGGGGGGGGGGATGTTTCCTAGAAACAAGAATCCAGAGTTGCTTTAAGCCAAGTATCTGTTTGTCCCTGTATTTTTCCTCTAGTTATCTTGCTTCTTTCCAACCAACATTTTTTTTTCCTTCCCTCCTCCCTCATCTCCACCCCCCACCCCCTCACCACGGAAGGAATTGGCCAGCTCCATCTAGGCAGTCCCCCATAGCTCCGCCCTACTCGGCGGGCCAAGAGTTAACAGCTGCACCTGTTGAGGTAGACCTGCAGTTGCCGGCACCTGTACCTGCAGCCAATCAGCGCCAGTGCTGCTGGGAACCTACCTGTCAGCAAAATCTCGACACCCAAACCTCAACATAAATCAAACACTTCCCTGGGCAGGGAATGTCTGTGTCAGGCAAGAATTAGAGACAAGCGGTCAGCAAAGCCTCAGTGCCGATCATCGGAGCCTGTGAACAAGAAGATGTCGAATGAACTTGAGTGAGTAAACATCGGTGGATGCCTGGCGCTCTCTGAGTGCGGAGGCTGGATGGGGTTTCCAAAAGGGGTAAGAGCAGGGAGGCCGGCGCCAGGATTCCCAGAGCAATTTGTACGGGTAAATGAATGGGCTGACGATCTTTCTTTGGCGTGTCAAGGCAAGTCCTGGTCTCAAGCTAGAGCTGAATGTTTCCCTGGGAAAGTAGTTTTTCTCTTTCTCTCTGCTGAGCAGTTTCGAGCCAGGTAGGGAAACACAGGACTGAAACTGTGAGTTTTTTGGCACCACTTTTTGATACTCTGATGCGGTCTTGGAAATTAGAGACAACCCCAGTCCTGTCGAAGCTTTCTCTCTTCCTGCCAAAAGGAACTTCTTTGAGGTGGTTCTAAGAGCTGTCTTAGGCAGAGAGTTGGGTTTCTCTAAAGGGACTTGTTTGTTGCATTGGAACAGTCCCAAGTGGAAGGTTATAATGTGTGGTTAAACATGAGCACTCTCTGTAGTGGGCTTGATCTAGGTTCAAATCCAGGCTCTGTCCCTCACAAGCTGTGTGATCTCCATTTCCCTCATCTGGAAAATGGGTACAAGAATACTCTGTAGAATTCTCGAAAGAGTTACATGTGATAGAGGCTGTAAAATGCTTAGTACAGAGCCAAGATCTAAAGATGCATTCAATTAAACATGGGTGATTTATTCAGAGACAGTTCTAAGGCTGAGGCGGCTGAGAAATGATTGCTGTTGCCTGGCAAGATGCATGTGCCTTCCTGCCCATATCTGAGGTTTAGAATCCCGACTGGCTTTACCATGGATCTCCTGCTTGGGGTCGAGACCCCAGAAGGTGGGATGAAGCTAGGATCTGGACTGCTCTAGCTTGGGTTCAGGGAGCTGGCAGGAGAAACTAGATCTCTCCTTTTCCTGCCACCCTCAGAGGTGAGTGGGCAGAGGAAAGGGTTGAACAATCTTTTTTCCTAGCTACTCAATAGATTGTTTTAAGAACTTGAAGACCTGTGGGCAGAACAAGTGGTGGGTCCTGATTGAAGACAGGATTTTATGTTACTAGCTAGCTCTTGGGTTCTCTGGGTTGGCCAATTAGGTTCACAGTACAATCCAGGTTAAAAGGCTTCAGATTTCTTTTGAATGAATTCTCTGGGTTGACAATGTATTGACAATTGAACCACAACTAGAATAAGAGTAGGAGCATTGGCACTGACACCTGGCTTGAGTTCCAGCTGTCACTTAACTAGCTGTGTGGCCCTGGGCAAGTCACTTCATCTGAGCCTTAGTTTCTTCACCTGTAAACTGTGGCCTATATTGGCATGGAGTTGTCAGGGGATTCAACAATTTTAAAATCGATTTAAGCCTGGTAAGGAGCAAGCTAATAACACAAATGTTACTTCATAGCGAAATAACCAGTGAGTGTTTTCGAAACTCCTATTTTTCCATACTCTGCACACACAAAAAAATCTTGCTGTGTCTCCATCCCGCTTAGATCCGCTGGTTAAAACTGCAGAGGCTGCAGACGGAATCTATTCACTGCTGATCGTGAAGCTGGGTCACTTGAACAGAAAAGTTTCCTGCTTTTCTCCTCCCTAATGAGTTGGATTTGAAGTTAGATCCGCTGACAGTTGAGGCTTCTCTGTTTGGGGTGGGGTGAGACGCCTGTGCCTGCTGAGTAATTGCGGGTAGACTCTGAAGCTACCATTACAATGGCAGAGCCCCGGGGCTCAGCTGCCCCTACAGATGGGGATGGGGCGGGGGCGGGGTGAAGGGGGACAAAGTGCTTGGCTTGCAAGTTTTGAGCTGCTACTCCCTAAAAAAGTGCGGAGTTAAGAGGACTCCCTGGTCCTCAGTTTCCCCATCTGTACAGTGAGGGCTATAAACACCTACCTGTCAGGAAAAACAGTGAGCGCCCATGTGCGGACCGCCCGCCCGCAGCAGGAGCTCCATAAACTCCAGCCAGATTACCAGGCCTCGGTGTACGGAGGCACCTCGAAGGCCGGTGGTTGAGAAGCTGGGAGGCCCACGCGGCGCAGTTAGAAACCAGTTCGAAGTAGCTGGCGGGTGACAAGCGCCCAGGCCTTTCATGTGGTCGGGCTCAGCGCCGGGTGCGTCCGCCAGCAACCCTGGGTGCCTCGAGCCCGCAGCCTCGCGTGGCCGCAGGGCCAGAGCGGGTCGCAAAGGATCCTGGGACGGCAGCCCCGGGCGCCGGAAGTCGCCCTCGCGGGAGAACCGCCGGCGCCTGCGCCCCGGGGCCGAGGCGGGGCGGGAGTGTGGGGTTCCTCTCAGGGCCGCTTCGGAGAGCGCGTGGGCCTACTATGTGCCAGGCGCCCCGGCGCTGTCGCCTCCCTTTCCCCCTCCGGTCTGGCGTCCTTTACAGCCGAGGAAAGGGGGGATTAGCCCGTTTAAAGAGGCTTGACACACAGTAGGTCTACGGGACAGAGGCGGCGCCTCAGGATTCTCCCTCAAAACCTCGCCCTCGTGCGGAGTGTAGGCCCCCACTGCTGCTTTCCGGAATCTTCTCTACCCCCAGTGCTGCGTCCCTCCCCCCGCAAGCCTTGGATAGGGCTGGGGGCCCGGGGTCGGGGACAAAAAGACGCCCCAGTCTTTGACCGCGGCCCGGGCGGCCGACGGCCTATCTGATCTCCCGGAGCGCCGGCTCCAGACAGCCTGGAGCGCTGAAAGAGTTAACCAGGAACGCCTCCCGCTGCGGTTTTGTGGTCGAAACCATGATTGCCAGGAGCAAATTTTTGTCATGCACAAGGTGTGTTATTAAAAGTCGGAGTTACGCTGCTGGTGAATGAAAAGTTAAAAGCCCTCATTGAGCTGGGGCTGTAAAAGCGGCGGACTGGGTCGCGAGAGTCTTAACGGCGGCCGCCGGGCTGCTGGAGCCTCCCGCGGCTCTGCGGGCTGCTGGCGGGGGCGGGCGCCGGGTCCCCGCCGCGGGTCGCCGAAGCCTGCCGGCCCTCCGAGCTCCCTTACCGAGGAAGACGAGGGAGGAAGGGCAACAGGGCTGAAGCTCAAACAGGATCCTTGAGCTTTCTTCTCGGTTAAAACAAAAATGACAGCCACCAATTTCTGAGCATTGACTCTCCATCAGATGCTGTAGAGTGCTTGATAAATTCATGCTCTCCGTTAACCCAACAATCCAGTGAGGGATGAAAGTTTAAATGTAGTTGTGCGGAGGACTGAGGCCCGTGATCTCGTGGAAGAGCCAGGATCTTAACTGGATGTCAACTCAGGGGCCAGAACAGTGCACACCCTTCTTCCTATGTGGTTAGACTTTTAAAAAAGACAAAACTGTTGAAAGTGGAAGAATGTAAATGAAGTCTTTTTTTTTTTTTTTGCTTCTTTTTTTCCTTGTAGGTGCCACAGTTTATATACTGTAGTTATATTTTATAAACACCTATGATTTGGGAGTAGGAAGAGGTGACAGAGGGAATCATTTTTATTAAGAATTATTGGTTCATTTATAACAGTGTTCTCAAAATGTGGTCCCTGGACCAGCAGCAGCATCATGACCTTTGTCATCACCGCCACCTGGGAACTTGCTAGAAGTTGCACATTCTCAGCCCCTTGGCCTAGACCTATTGA